TGCCAGTTTAACATAAGTGCCAGCTCTGTGTCTGGTTGGTTGTTTAATACATAACGCAAGGCTTCTCCTACAGACAAACGCTTCAAGCCATATTCGCTGGAAATTTTTTGGGCAACTGAAAAAAACATTAAAACTTTAAACTTATTCCATTTCACAAATTCATCTGTAAACCTTAGTTTCAGATTCCGGTTAACTGATATCAACTGCAAACTAATTTTCATATTCCTCAAAGAAACTTCAAAAATTAAAATTGCTACATTTTACTGAATTAATACTGTCAATCACTATTAATGCTTAAGCTATGTGGCTGATAGATCTGGGTAACAAGCCAACTCTGTGGGTTTTTATTATAACTGAACCAACATTTAAGTTTTCCTTCTGTACGAAGTAGCTTTTTCCGAGAGCTTTACAAAACATCTGATGTGTACTATTAATATTTGGTATTATGTCCAAAATAACTCAGTTAATCCTCTAGGGAACAAATTTTTAAAATTATAATAGCATACCTGACATTTTAATAGTGAATTACAACTTATGAGGCAATTTTTCTTCTGTGACTTTATTTGATATTTTCAACTATTCCATCAGGTAGATAGAATGAATATTAAAATTCCAGTTTTATAGATGAGAGAACTGAATCCCAATTGAATGGAATGATTTGTCCATGATCACATAGATGTTGCCATTGGTTGAAAGAAGACTAACCTTGGCCTCTGCTTCTCCTATGTGAGACCAAGCAATGGCTTCCAGCAACTAGTATCAAATGTGGGTGTGTTCTCAAAAACAGAAAATTACAGACCCATATCTCAGATGAATACAGATGCAAAAATCCTAAACAACATTCTAGCAAATAAAATACAACAATGCATTAAAAAACTTATAGAGCCGGCTGAGTGGCTCAGTTGGTTAAGAGCGTGAGTTCTGAGCAATAGGGTCACCGTTCCATTCCCACATGGGTCAGTGAGCTGCACGCTAGCTGAGCAGCCGTGAGCTGCAGATGGGTGGCCAGATGGTGACTAGACTTGGAGCTGAGCAAACTGTGCTCTCTACAACTAAGACTGAAGGACAACAACTTGGCTGTTTCCCTTCCCCAATTCCCCAACACTTCCCCTTCCCCCATTCCCCAATAACATCTTAAAAAAACAAATTATATATCATGATCAAGTGGGACTCATCCCAGGGGCACAAGGATGGTTCAACATATGCAAATCGATCAATGTAATACACCACATAAACAAAAGATAAAAATCATATGATTTTTATCAATAGATGCAGAAACAGCATTTGACAAGATAGTACATCCATTTATGATTAAAACAATAAAATGGGTATAGAAGGAAAATACTATAACATAATAAAGGCCATATATGACAAACCTTCAGCTAATATAAATTAATGGTGAAAAAATGAAGCTTTTGCTCTACTCAGGAACAAGACAGGGTTGCCCCTATTACCAATGTTATTCAACATAGAATTAGACATCCTAGCCAGACCAATCAGGCGAGAGAAAGAAATAAAAGGCATCCAAATTGAGAATGAAGAAGTTCAACTGTCACTTTTTGCAGATGACATGACTGTTTATAAAGAAAACCCTAAAGACTCCACCAAAAGGTTATTAGAAACAATAAACAAATACAGTACAGTTGCTGGCTACAAAAATCAATGTACAAAAATCCATTGCATTCCTATATACTAACAATGAAATTTCAGAAAAAGAAATGAAAGAAAAACAAACCAAAAAACAATTCCTTTTGCAATTCCAACGAAAAGAATAAAATGCTTAGGAATAAACCTAACAAAGGATATGAAGGACCTATACACTCAAAACTATAAGACATTTGTAAAAGAAATTGAAGAAGACACAAAGAAATGGAAAGACATTCTGTGTTCATGGATTGGAAGAATCAACATAGTTAAAATGGCCATATTACCCAAAGCAATATATGGATTTAATGTAATCCCTATCAAAATCCCAATGGCATTTTTTAAAGAAATAGAACTGAAAATCATCAGATTTGTATGGAATCACAAAAGACCCCGAATAGCCAAAGCACTCCTAAGAAAAATAAATAAATAAGGCTGGAGGTATCACACTCCCTGACTTCGGCTTGTACTATAGACCAACAATAATCAAAACAGCATAGTATTGGCAGAAAAACAGACACAAAGACCAATGGAATAGAACTGAAAACCAAGAAATAAACCCACATAAATATGGACAGATAATTTTTGACAAAGAAGTAAAAAACATACAATGGAGAAAGAAGTCCTCTTCAATAAATGAAGCTGGGATAATTGGAAAGCCATGTGCAAAAGAATGAAACTAGACTGCTATCTGTCTCCATATACCAAAATTAACTCAAAATGGATCAAAGACCTAAACATAAGACCTGAAACAATAAATTGCATAGAAAAAAGCATAGGTACTAAACTTATGGGCCTTGGGTTCAAAGAGAATTTTATGAATTAGACCTCAAAGGCAAAGGAAGTAAAAGCTAAAATAAATGAATGGGACTATATCAAACTAAAAAGCTTCTGCACAGCAAAAGAAACCATCAACAAAACAAAGAGGTAACCAATGGAATGGGAGAAGATATTTGCAAACAACGCCTTGGATAAGGGGCTAATATCCAAAATACATAAGGAAATCATACAACTCAACAACAAAAAGACAAACAATCCAATTAAAAAAATGGGCAACAGACATGAACATAAGCTTCTCCCAAGAAGACATAAAATGGCCGACAGATATATGAAAAAATGCTCAACTTTACTAACTATTAGGGAAATGCAAATCAAAACCACAATGAGATATCACCTCACACTGGTTAGAATAGCTATCATCAACAAGACAAGTAATAACAAAAGTTGGAGAGGCTGTGGAGAAAAAGGAACCCTCATATACTGTTGGTGGGAAGGTAAATTGGTACAGCCACTATGGAAAACAGTATGGAGTTCCCTCAAAAAATTAAGAATAGCATTACCATATGATCTAGCAATCCCTCTTCTGGGTATGTACTCAAAAAATCTGAAAACATTTATCCATAAAGATATATGTACTCTGATGTTCATTGCAGCATTATTTACAGTGGCCAAGACATGGAAACAACCAAAGTGTCCTTCGATAGATGACTGGATAAAGAAGATGTGGTATATATACACAATGGCATACTATTCTGCCATAAGAAAAGATGAAACAGTGCCATTTGCGACAACATATCGGGTTGTTGGGAAAGTCATGACGCTATTTTGCATTGAAAAACATAGAAAAATACGTTATGACTTTCCCGATGACATAATAGATGGATCTTGAGATGATTATGCTAAGCAAAATAGGTCAGATCAGAAAAAGTAAAAAACCATATGACTTCATTCATGTGGGATATAAAACTGAAAGCAATAAAGGACCAAGACAAAGAAAGAAAGAAACAAAAACACATAGACACAAACAACAGTTTAGTGGTTACCAAAGAAAAGGGGGTGGTAGACAAGGGTAAAGGGAGTCAAATATATGGTGACTGAAGGAGAACTGACTTTGGGTGGTGAGCACATAATGTGATATATAGATGATGTATTATAGAATTGTACACTTGAAACCTATGAAACCTATGTAATTTTACTAACCACTGTCACCCCAATAAATTTAATTTTAAAATGTGGGTGTGTTCTTTTGGGGTCTATATACCCTGCATCATCACTGTCTGGAGACAGCATGTGTATAGGACACACACACACACACACACACACACACACACACACACACACACACGGAGAGAGAGAGAGAGAGAGAGAGAGAGAGAGAGAGAGACCATCTCATCCCATGGTCAGAATTAACTGACCACACACCCAGTCCAAAGTTATGCAAAATTCAAACATTTGAGGAATAAATTTACCAAATGCCTTTTCAGCAATAATTAAGATAATAGATTTTCACTCTTTAAACTATTAGTACAGCAGAGTATATTTATAAAATCTTTAAAAATAATTTTTATGCTAAAACAATCTTAATATACTGTTATTTCACTATATTTATAAGTAATACTAGTTTGTAATTTCTTGTATTACCTTTGTTAGGTTTTGATATCAGGGTCACGCTAATTTAAAAATGTATTTTTATTCTTTATACCTTTTGGATTATATGGATTATATTCATTAATAAAAAAGAAACTCAAAATAAATTGGGAAGCATACTGTCTTTTCTCTTGCTCTGGAAAAGCTTATAAAAATACAGGAAGTAGCTTTTGAATTTTTAACCCTTTGAAAGTTTGCTAAGATTCCTCCAAAACCATTTGATACCGGGCTGTTTTGGAGTGAAGCTGTATTTTTGAGTGCCCCCTCTTCAGTGGTGATGGGCCTTTTTAGGTTCCCTATCTTTTTCTGAATCAATTTTGAGTGTTGGTGTCCTGGAGAAGTGGCACTCCTTTTCAGGGGATTCATTTATGCTTATGGATAACAAAGGCAAACACACCTTACCTGTAGTTTTCCCAGATTTTGGAGGCCCCACAATTGCAATCCTAATGGGCATAGTAGGTTTAGGTTTGGGCTGGCGGATATATTTGATTGGGTTCTTCATAAATTTTTCCTTAGTTTCCTTACTAGATAAAAAGTAAATATACTGACGATGGATTACAGGATAAAGTGGATTCTGTGAGTTTTCAATTGGCTTGATCGTCTCTCCTTCACTTAGCTGCAATATACACACAATTAAATTAATAAGTTAGCTTTACTTCATATATCATTTCCCTCAATACATTTGAAAAACAATTTGTAAAATAAGAAAATACATCTTATAGAATAATAAAACTAGTGAAAATCAAATATTGATATTAAAAAACTGTGTGAAAAGAACAAATTATTTTATACCCACATGTAATTAATGTCATCTTTCTTAAATGGCTTTCAGTTTATGACAATTATAGTTCCTCTATTTCCTTTATAATGTATTTAGTGTATACTGAATGTTTATGCCAAGTAATGTAAAGTTGTTTGGATACATTCATGGGCCAATTTATCTTTACAAATAGGCCCATTCCTAAGGTGGTGTTATGGATGGAAATATGGTCCCTAAAATTCATAAGTTGAAACCCTAACACCCAAATGACTGTATCTGGAGGTAGGCTTTTAAGGAGGTAAGTAAAATGAGTCAGAAGAGTGGGGTCCTTATAAGAAGAGGAAGAGACACCAGGAATATATGAGTATGAGCACAGGGAAAAGGCCATGTGAGGACATAGTGACAAGTGGCTGTCTATAAGCTAGGGAGAGGCCTCACCAGAAAATCATCCCGCTGGCACCCTGGTCTTGGACGTGCAGCCTCCAGAACTGTGACAAAATAAATTTCTGTTGTTTAAGCCACCCAGTTGGTAGTATTCTATTACGGCAGCCTGAGTAAACAGGTGGGACCCTGGGTTATGTTTTAGGATATACTATACTGGTAGGACAAATCCCACTGGCTTCTCTTCCATGTTAAGAATACTGTACAGTGCTTACAATTTTTGAAATTATCCAGTGTCTTCTTAGATATATTAAATAAAAGAAATAAAAAAAGAACATTGCTTTCAACTGCATTTGTTGACATCACCTTGACAGGGTCCCAGTAGCCGAATGCGCTTATATATTTATAGGTAAAGCTGATCATTTTCTGGGCAAGGCGTGATGATATTGGATAACATTTTTCAAAAATGCTTGCACGATTTTCCACCAGTGGCTTCAGTTTCATATTCAACAAATATTGTACAATGTGAATTTTCCGAGCTCCATTAATGAAAAATATTGGTATTAAATACTTCTCAAATTCATCCTGATGAGAAAAATCATGAAACCAAATATTTTTAGTGGGAAGAAGGCTGGTAGTAGTGTCACAGCACACAGACATTGCTGGTGACTGCGTATGTCAGTCTTGAGCTGTCAGCTTTTGAGTGGCTGCATGTTGGCAACTAAAACCTTTGACCCTATATGGCTCTCATGTTGCCCTTGATTTATTAACTTGTCATAATTGTAAGTAGTGTTGATAAAAGGGAATATAGCCCTAAAATACACATTTCTTTTGAAATGTTAAAAAACAAAACAAAACCAAGGCATAAACCAAATTTCTTTTGTTTCATTCTCAAATGTCATGAATTATGAAAAATGAAGGAAAAGTACTAACCTGTATTCCTTGTAAATTACTCATATCTGCTTCATATTTTTCTCCCAGTTCACTTCTCAGGCGTTCCAGTGCATCAGTTTCTTGTTCTTCATCTTCCTCACTCATCATTTCCTCATCTTTTGGAAATTCATCTTCGAGGATGTTCTCAATATCTTCATCATCTTCTTCAGCTCCTTCCTCACTAATTTCTTCATCTTCTCTAACAACCTCAGGGAGAAAATATTTCTATTTATTATACCTATAAAATAGGTAACAAATGATACTGCTAACTCATCACTTGGCATATTTTGTAATAACTGGATCTTAGTTTGTATGGCATGGCAACATTCATCTAGTAACACAGTAAAAATTTAAATGTCTGGCACCCAGAAATGTAATACCTTCAAGGTTCTGTCACTAAAGTAACCCTGTATATAAATACGTAGACAAGATATTACATGTTATTTATGTCTATGGTTGTCAGAATGTTACATGTTTTTGATGGTCTTCAGTAAAAATAGTTAATGTAACTCTAAGAGTATAAAGTACTCATTGGCTGTGTTAGCTTGGACAAGGTCAGTTTCCTCAACTGTAAAATAGGAACAATAAAAGTACGTACCTCACAAGCTTGCTGGGAACATTAAATAAGTTAATACATGTAAAGCTCTTGGAAAAATGTCTGGCACATGGTAAGCATGCAAATGGTACCTATTATTGCTATTATAGTTATTATGTTACTTTGTATAAAGTACTGTACTAGTAAAATAGTATATGCCCTTTAGGAGGTTACAGCCTAGCTGAGGAAACAAGAGTGATACATAAATGATTATTAAAGACCTTGACAAGATATTGATAATAAGTGGTGTTACAAAGGCTGTAAGTGTTATAGTCCAGTTTGCACAAAACTGAGCCCTATTATTATTGATCCTCCTGCACTGCCTCCACACTCTTCTCCCTGAAGTATTCCTTGTCTCAGAGCACTCCTTTCCAGTTGGAACCTGCAAGTTATCTTGACACCTTCCTCTCCATCTCTGCACATCCAGTTTCCCAGGACTGTCATCTAAAATAAAAACTCCCTCCTTCCTGATCCGACTCCACTGTATGCTGTGTCATTCATTATCTCTTGCCTGCAATCTTCTGGATTAGCTCGATATTCCCTAATCTTTCTAACTGATTAGAACCTGGTTCCTTTAAAAGGTGCCTGGAGGTGGGATTTGAACTTGAAGGTGTAGAGAGGAAGGTGAGAGGATAAGGGCCCATTCTTGCTCTGTGTCTAGGCTCCCCTTCTACAAAAGGAGGTTGGCAATGGGTAGTGTTTCTCAGTTCTGGTTCTTTTTTATCTGAATTTTGAAACCATTTGGTCCTCTTACTACTTTTTCCTTTTCCCNACCCTCTCCCAGAGTGACTTATGGTCAATGACAGGTTCCTTTAACGGGGGAAGTTTGTATGGAAGCTTCTGATTCCAGTATTTCAGTGGCAACCTAAGAACACAAAGTTTATTAGGTGGATGCTCACAAATATACTCATTGTATGTATATAGGAATGTAGATACACAAGAGGCAATTAAAAGATAAAGTTTCTCCATTGGAGAAGATGATACAAGTGGGAAGACTGGGGCGCCTAGAAATTCATGACCACCATCTTCATCTTGGCTCCTAGCCCTGCTCGTCTAGTCTCAGTTTTGTTATTTTTCACAGCAATTATATAAAATTTTCTTTATTCTCCTCAGGCTTCTAACTCTCTCAAATAACCCCTTACACACACACACACACACACACACACACACACACACACACACACACACACACACCTCAGCATGCTACATTGAATCTAGAAAATATTCAAGAAATATTTATAACTTACTGAATGGTCTCACCTCAGAAATTTCTGGAGTTTTTCATTACTCTCACAAATATATATACGGTTACGATATTCTAAGGCATATTTAATGTCACCAGGTACTAGGGCTTCATATCTGAAAGTAAAAAAGAAACCTGTTGTATAATTAATATACAGTACTGTATAAATAAAATGTCAAAATGTTTTATTTTTCTACCTATGCAACTCAAGGAAGAAATAGAATATTTTCCATTTAAACAATAGTGATCTTTTGACCAAAATGTTAAGGTTGTTATATGAACTCCGTATTCTGAGTAGAGATACCATCCTGTATTTCCACGAGGCTGAGGACTTGCCTTTGTTTTCCATCCTGATAGGTCACAGGACAGTAGCCCTGGAGCTCAGCACACTTAGGGAATTGTTTCTTCAGCTCTGACAGCGTCAGCCTTTTGGGGATCATGTCGGCAGTTGGGAGTGGATAAGGTGCTAATGGAGGCACATATAATTCTGGGTTCTCCAAAAATTTCTATGAAAAAAGGATTACAGAAACAAGACCATTTAAAACAAGAATACCATGCCAATCAAAACCCCCTGAGGCTCTTCTCATACTCTCCCCATTTTCAGTAGCTATGTTTGAGAGCCGCTTTCAGCACTACAATAACACCTTCCCTGGTTGGAAGTTCCTGAGAGTCATACTTCCAAGTGGTTGCATCTAAAGTCTCCCCTAATCTCACTCACTCACTCACTCATCCATTCATACAAAAAATATTTGTTGAACTCTTATTATGTGCCAGGCACTGGAGAGTACAGTCACCTGCTCACTTGTCTTCCTGTCCTGAAGTATAATTAACTATTGTAGTTGGGTGCCCTTTGGCAGGTGAGCTGACTTCTCCAGCTTCAGTTATCACTCTGTAAAATGGAGGGGCAGACCAGATACATGCTCTCTAATCTCACTTCCAGTTTGAAAAATCGGTGATTACTATTTAAGCAGGAAGAAATCAATGTCTCCTTAAGAAAGTGATCGAAAACTCCCAATTCTTCCGGGGAAAGTAAAATGTTCAGAGGCATCTGATTAGTTCACCACTACCAACCATTTTATATCATCAAATTATAGACACTATAAGAACAAATCTGCATTCTAGTTCGTTAAACAGAAATTTAAGGTATGCAGGGAATTCTGATAGAAAAAAAAATTAAAGCACGGAGACATGCCAACTCTTGCTTTATTTCTACTGACTTTGACTTCTCTTCTGCACCCTTAAAGCTGAATTCCTAGGTCCCCCACCTGTGTGCTGAGCCCTGGTGCTCAGCATCCCCTCTATTGGTGGGGCTCACCATTGGGTCACCTCTTAAGCCGGCCCAGGCTGAGGGCCCATCACTGACCCTGAAGTTCTCTGCTTTGTGCCAAAATATGTCATGGAATGCAGTCTCAGTACTGGCCTCTGAGTTGCCTCATCAGTCTCTGAGTCACAAGTTCCACTAATAGGACACCTAGTCCCCAATTCCTGGGTGTTCCCAGCTGCGCCCACCCCTTCCTATTTGATGAATTCCGAGACAGGCACATCCTTTGTCTAGTAAATATTTGGACTGAGGGACAGACTTACATTCAGTTTTTCCCGAGAACTCATTTTATAATAGTGCCCTCTGAACTCTGCTGCAAATTCCAAGGACTCAGTTACAGAGCAGTCAATTAATTCATACGATTCTGCCAGGCTGACAGGGCAGAACTGTCCAAATTCGCCGAGGCGAGAAATAAGTTCTTGAGGTGTGATGCATAAATTGTCAATGCAGGCAGCTTTTCCTGTTATTAACAGATTAACTATTATATATATGCATATGTGTGTGTGTGTGTGTGTGTGTGTGTGTGTATTTTCATAGAAAACATTTTTTTAAATTAAAATAATTTCAATTGCACAAGCTCTATACAAATGCATACATTGTAAAATTCCAAACAATAGAGTAATAGAGTAAAAAGTTAGTTTCTCTTCACACCTTTGTCCTCTCAAACCCTTCTTGAGAGGTAATCACTGTTGAGTTTGTATCCTTTTTGGACTTTTTTCTATACAGTTGCATGTACACATGTGTGATTTTTGCATATTGTATGCTTATGTCACTGTACTGAAACATTATTCTGCAACTTGTTTGTATCAGTTAGTTATGGTCTTTGACATCTTTCCCTATGATTTACCAAATTCTTTTAAATTGATGCACAGTATTCCATTATATAAATATACATATAGTTTACTTAACCACTTATCTGTTAATGAATGGTTGTTTTTAATTCTTAGCTATTATCTATTTCCTGGATTCCTAACCCACAGAAACTCTGTGTGTGTGTGTGTGTGTGTGTGTGTGTGTGTGTGTGTGT